AAATGTATTCGGATTTATTAAAGGGTGTTTTTAGGCATATGCTTTTGTTCGCTTATCAAGTTCCAAATAGAAAGGGAAAATAATCAATTGGAAAATCTGCTGAAAATATACTCGCCCTCAGAATCAGATCATCCAAGATGTAGATGAGTTTCTTTCATCATTGGAAAAGATTTGAAAATTTAGCATTGCATCACTTGCTCAACAATGGATCCTCTGAATGGGTGCCGTCAGAATGAGAGTCCAAACAGCTGATAAAAACATCACAATAATCCACACCACTCCAGTCCAGTGTTTTAGTTTCCATCTAAAATATGAGTCCACAATAACTATCCACAATATTTATTTCTCCAGTAAAAGTCGTCTCGTCTGAATCGGGAGAGAATTATGCACAGATCAAGCAAAAACGGTTCTAAACAAATGTGTTGTTTTTGATGTGAGAGGACAACATGGGATGGACTGGAAGAAGGGTTGTTATTATTAACTTTTGTGTTTGACAGAAACCAGAGAAGGATGAGTGGGGAAGCGGTGTGGAAGCTCTCGAATGCGCCCTGCAGCTGGAGAAGAGCGTCAATCACTCCCTCCTGGAGCTGCATAAGCTGGCCTCTCAGCACAACGACCCTCATGTGAGTGTGCAGCCACTGATATGAACGCCATCTCATTAACAAACAAAACCTTTTCCCAACTCATTCTTCTTGTTTCTTACAGATGTGCGATTTCATTGAGACACACTACTTGGACGAGCAGGTGAAGTCCATCAAAGAACTGGGCGACTGGGTGACCAACCTGCGCCGCATGGGCGCCCCCCAGAGCGGCATGGCCGAGTACATGTTCGACAAGCTCACACTTGGCAAAGAGAGCAGCTAAATACTCCGTCCATCTTTTCCTTTGCTGATTAGTTTTGCTGTATGAGCGTTTATTTCCTTCTAGGCCATCAGACTCTATTTTATGTTGTTTGACTGACTGGTCAACCTGTGTGTCCAGTTATTTAAGCAGAAAAACCTCTTAGCTTGTTTGACTCTGCCGTGCTTCGCTGTTTGAAGTCGCACTTCTCATAAGCCATTGAACTCTGTATCTCTAGCTAGTTCACAGTTTGTAATGCGAAACCAATAAAATAGAAACCTCTGGGATCTGAACTTGACTTATGACTCCTTCATTGTTTCCAGACATGAGCTTTCAAAGGGGATTATTAATAGAAATGTGCAAAGAATGACTTTGATGCTTTATTTTATATATGTGTCAAATATATTGAACTTAAAGATTTTCTTGCATATTTTAATCAATATTGAGTTAGTCTGAGGGCAGGAGCTCTAAAAAGTAGTGTGTGTGTTTTTTTTTGTTTTTGTTTTTTTTGTTACTGAAAGAATTATCCTCTGCTTACCAAGCAAGGCTGCATTTATAAATCTAAAATATTCTAATGCTTGAAAATGTAATTTATTTCTGTGATGCAAAGTTGAATTTTCGGCATGATTACTCCAGTCTTCAGTGTCATATGATCCTTCAGAAATCATTCTAATATGCTGATTTGCTGCTGAAGAAACATTTCCTATTAATTTTGAAGACTGTGCTAAATTTAAGGATTCTTTGCTGGATAAGAAGCTCAAAAGTGCAGCATTTATTTGAAATAGATTTTTTTTTTTTTAAACCATAAAAGTCTTTACTTTCACTTTACATTAATTGAATACGTCCTTGCTGAATAAAAGTATTACTGACCCCAAATGTCTGAATGGCAGTGTAGGTTGACAAGAAATAAACCAAAATCATATTGATTGCTATAATACTATATTCCTTATAACAGTGTTTACTACCTTATTCTGGTGCGGATACATGTGTCTTCTACTTGGTATCATAATACTGAACTGTGACTCAAAGTGTCACATATGTTTCAAACTTTAGCATCAGGTCTTTTTTTTTTTTTCTCCATCATGGCAAATGCAGTTATTAAGGTTTTATATTTAATGGTGATTCTAGTTGTTGTCCGCGTATCAATTTACATTGTGACCAAAGTTGTCTCAGTCTTAGGTTGGCTATATATAATATGAGAAGCCTTGCACTGAAGCCAAGGAAACTAGACACCCATCTGATGAAATGTTATTTTTAACCCAGTTCTATTACAATACAGCAAAAATGTATCATCAGCCTGTTGAAGAGTCATGTTGGCCTGTTTAAGTGTCTTGCTGTAACAACCAGTGGTAAAAGGGTTAATATGTCAGCCAGATCAGGTGTCTAGTATCTTTAACCATCAAATCAAAACAAAAGGGGAAATACAAGAAGGAAATAAAAACAGCCCACTCTGGTCTTTTTTTTTTTTTCTCCATGGCAAATGCAGTTATTAAGGTTTTATATTTAATGGTGATTCTAGTTGTTGTCCGCGTATCAATTTACATTGTGACCAAAGTTGTCTCAGTCTTAGGTTGGCTATATATAATATGAGAAGCCTTGCACTGAAGCCAAGGAAACTAGACACCCATCTGATGAAATGTTATTTTTAACCCAGTTCTATTACAATACAGCAAAAATGTATCATCAGCCTGTTGAAGAGTCATGTTGGCCTGTTTAAGTGTCTTGCTGTAACAACCAGTGGTAAAAGGGTTAATATGTCAGCCAGATCAGGTGTCTAGTATCTTTAACCATCAAATCAAAACAAAAGGGGAAATACAAGAAGGAAATAAAAACAGCCCACTTCTCTTTTAAGAAGCAGGTGTTATATAACCTATATTTACAGTATTTACACTTCCTGTTCTATTAACTGTCATTTATATGAAAGACGAGAATAATGTATGATCCTTATAACAAAACAGTATATCAGTAGGGAAGTATTATGTATTAAATATTTATATTGTGAAAATACACAACACATTTATAGCATGTAGAAACATGTTTGTGCAGACCAAAACCGACACAAATTTGCCAGTTTGATCCACACAGCTGTGAGAATAACCACAAACACAGATGCAACGGACATCTACTGTAGCTCATGTGTGGAAAAAATGATTTTAATATGTCAGTTCATTGTGTACTTACATTGTTAATCTGATTAACTGTAAACCATTGTTTCCATAGACCTAATTGTTCACTTGAACTGGTCAGTGTTTATTCATCCAGAAGCTCATCATAAGTCTGGGAATATGAAGTGCAAGACTAAACATGACTGAATAATGCCTATATAATCTTTTTAGATTGTCAACAAAACAGATATGAGGAAGCTAGCGTTAATATGTGGTGAAACAGGAAAGACTTTAATCCAAGACACCTGTAGTGTGTCTTTGTGCTTGTCAAGATGAACATAGTTCTGTCATATAAACCTGAACATCTGGTATGACGAAAAAACTGCATGTCATCATGAGCACTGCTTTGTTGCACTATATAATATATATAACATATTATATATGTATGTGTGTGTGTGTATTTTCTCTCATTCTTACAGGATTTTAAGGCTATAGCAGCAGACAATGGTAGATTAAACTAATAAACTATAAAGTATTGAGTCCTAAAATGGGATTTATTAATTTCATAAATACACAACCATTCATTTTTATTTAGCAAGTGTAGCAGGAATAGCTGCCTAGTTAATGTGGCTACAACCCGCAGTAATTACTGAATGGCAAGTGCCTAATTAGATTCAGGTGCGCTATAGGTGCGTGCGTGTGTGTATAAGGAATGTTTCCTGCGTTGTTGGGGAGCGTGTTGACTGGTGGCTGTTGTTGCAAACTTGGACGCTGGCTTTTTTATCTTTCCCAGCGTTATGGATCTTTGAGCCGAGCCCTACAGGCAGGGGCGCATTAATGTACAGGCTTCAAGGGGCTGAAGCCCTGGGGCCTACACTGGAAAGGGGGCCCACTGGCTGCAGGTAAATTATATTTTTTGAAAAATTATTTATATGGGAGTTTGCAGCAGTGACAACAGCGTTCTGTAAACAAACTCACACACGCATTTTCAGCGACGCCCTGGTTGTAGTAGCCTATGTAGTGAATGGCTCAGTTTAGGTTCCCCCCACAGTTTGTATAGTTGGTATGTTCCACGTGTTCCATCGATATACTGTAAGCGGAATGTACAATGCATGAGCTAGTAAATAACCGCAGCACGAGAGTATCTTTATGTCCACACGCAGATTAACAGAAACACAACACTGCTGTGTGAAAGTAACTGAACCGGTGTTCTCGGTCGATTTGTGCTACCCTGTCAGATTTTGCTACCTCCCATTAAAACAGTGGGTAGTACAATTCGACAACGAAAAATGCTACCTGTAAAATTATGGTGTATTAACGTCTACACCTACCCCAACCCTAAACCTACCCTTACAGTAATGCAGATACATTAAATATTGTTGTTCAGCGTGAGAAAAAGGACGCAATATTGATGTGCGCATGCGCAGTAAACCTTGGTAGGGCAATCTGACGGGTAGGATCAAATGTCAGGACACGTATCCTTGTGCTATTGCTAGTAACTTGTTCCTTTATTACTGACCGTTTAATTGTCTTTATGTAACATTATTTATTAAAATGCAAGGTTACTTTTTTATTTTTTAATCGTTTTGATACATTTCTGAGGTATACTGAGACGGGACAAAGTCTCTGTAAGTTATTAGGCTATTCTATAGTCTTTGGACGGGAAAGAGCGCTCAAAACTCTTCAGATTAATTTAGTGGAACATTAATATAATATAGAATCATCCTCTGTAAAGAAGTGAGGCGTGAACATGTGAGAATTTATCACTACCTTTGTAAATGTGCGCTCTTTTGGGCTAAAGGCTTAATGGAACCGTTTAAAGTAGCCATGCATGTGATCACAAATTAATCGGCGATTCGGCGCAGCGCAGACATGATTTAATACGTGACGTCCGGCCATGGTCTTTTGTAATACCATAATTGTTGGTAACAACATTTCTGACGAAGATTGGTAGATAAAGACAATGTGCTTGAGTGACCAGCTGGTGGCGCTCCAACATAAACAATGAGTGACGTATTAAAAAAAACATACACAACTATAAATGAATTTGCTTGCTTTATTAAGACACTAGAGCATGTTACATAGACTGAATGATGCTAAAACTTAAAGATTGCATTTTTGATGTCATAAATGAAGATGCAATTAAGGATAGTGTCAAGATGTAAAAAGAAAGAGTGAAATGGTTTTATACAAAACTGAATCAAGCAGTATTACAGTAAAATGATTTCAGTCATTTTCTATCGCACTGATGATCTTCTTTTCAGTACTTCCCGGGAAGGCCTTTCGATATGTAGCGGTTGGGGTCACCACCGTTACGTCCCCAGCGATTGGTTTCCTGGTCAGCTTCAGCATCTGAATAGTTTTCTAGACTTACTAGTGATTTAATGCAATTTCCATGCACTTAAAATGTAAACATTAACATACAATAATAATATTACAATTCAAAATTCTCAAAAATAATTTAAACATCTATAATAGCACATTGAGCTGCTGTTGCATGCTATAGTGCGAGGAAGCAAATATGTTTGCTTACTGTAAGTGCTCAAATGAACTTCTGAGGAATAAAATCATGTAAAATCTGCCACAGATGAAATAGCTGATCACTTCGGCTGCCCATCTGCCTCCGGGGCCCCTGCTTGCAGCATCATAGTTCCCGCGTGCATGGAAATACTTGTCTGAGTTTTTCCAGTTGGCCTCCCTCGTATCCTGGTAAGCACGAAACATGTCCTTTGCACCTACAAAACACAGTGAAGTGATTAAAATCTGCCTGCAAACTGATTCAACTGAGTGCATGACAAGAGTAAATGCAGATAAAAAGGAAAAAGTGACCTCCAATGGCTTGTCCTGGGTATTGGTGCCATTGCGCCTGGGTCTCGACCACCAAAACCAACACCAGCACAGCAAGAATAAGCTTCATGATTACAGAGCTGAACATATAAAGATATAACAGTGAGCACATGGTAATATTAGTAAAAGCTATAGATAAACCATCTGTAACTTAACATACTGTATTTGCATTAAAAAAAGAGGTTGATTCAGTCAGTCTCTTACCTCTCAGGTTAGCTCAGTTCAGACACATCAGGTCTTCACCCAGCTAGAGACCTTTTATAAGGCTCGGACTGGACTGGACTTGGATTTTCCCAAGAAAGAGAGATGGGTTATGACCAGATTGTTTTATCAGATAATAAATAAATGAATAGCTACAAAATCAGACTCTTGCACTCTCAAGCACACAACTCGCATGTTTAGTTTCCAGTTAGAAAAACAGGAAATGTATATATTTTTCCCAAACAAGAACTATCATGCCAACCAAGCAATAAAATAAAAAGGCCAGCAGCCAGCTTTACTGATGGAAATCATTATGTAACTGAATAATGCGTTTGGCAGACAACTTTATCCAAAGTGACTTTAAGTTTACACATCACGCCATGCATTTTGTGAAATTAAATGACATTGTTGACTGACTCTTCTGAGACTGATTCACTGTGTGGGAGAATTCCCAGATGTTAAAACTGATTGTTTTTGGAGTGTGAGGCCTGAATCATCCATGGAAATTCCAGACGCCTGCACATGCAGCCAAAGCTTGCAAACCAGAGTGTGTGTGTGTGTGTGTATAGTGTTAGCACTCACGCTTTCACTTTCACTTGGAAACTTTGGTAAAATAGTTTTTTACTTTACAATACTTACTGACATAAGTTTGAATGCACAAGTACATCAGATACAACAGCATTAAACAACATAAGACGGTGCAAGATGGGAATATTTATATATATATAAAAAACCTAAAACAATAAAAACATTGTAAAATATGATGCATTTATGAAGTCTATTTTTTATTAAACTTTTTTTTCTTTGAATTCTAAAAGAAGTCATTAGTGAGTTGTTAAAACTTTGGAATATGTTACCAAATTCAATCAAATTAGCCTTTTTTTTTTTTTTTTTTTTTGCATTTTTTTTTTTTTTTTTTCGAAAAGGGGCTCAA